AATTTTGCTATTTTTCAAACAGACGTCACTTATAAAACCAACAAGACACCAACTGTTACATGATAACATGAACAAACTGTATTTGCAACAGAATAACATGTAACCAATTTGCAACAAAACAACATGAACTTATTTGAATACAAAACTTTGGTTTATTTGCAACAAAATAACATACCTTCTATATGCAAAAAAAATAACAATGACACTTTTCGAAAACATTAAGAACATGGGGTTCATTGGCAAGAAAATGACACTGACTTTATTTGAAAGAAAATAGCATAGGGCCCTATTGCAACATAACGACATGGGGGCTATTTGCAAAACAATTAAAGCTGACCATATTTGCATATTATAAATAAAATTGTCTATTTGCAGTGATGTAATAAAAGCAACATTTGAATCATAATTGCATGGGCTTTAATGGCAACTTGACATGAACAAATTGTATTTGCAATAAAACAACATGGTCCATATTTTCAAAGAAATAACTCTTACCTTATTTGTAATAAAAAAACCTTGTGACCTTATTGTAACGTATACGACATTGAAATAACTAGCCGTATTTCCAACATAACAAAAATGGACTGTAATTACATAAAAGACTTTATTTGTAAAATAATAACAAAATTAACTTGCAACAACATAAAAGTAATCTTTCAATGTATGTCTTTATATAAAAGGCATTATGTCTTTATATTTAATATGATATAGGCTTCAAAACTAAAAAAAAGAAAAAGAAAATATAATATTCATGTAGGTTCATTAATGAATTTATTGTACTCATTGAATAAAATAATATTATGCTCAATTAGATTTTATTCAATAAATTCAGTATTGAACCTACACTCACTCAATACCCTCTTTGTAATAGTTATATTCTATGCCACAACTCTTTCAGGAACCTGCCATAAGTGATAAGACTATCTAAACAACACAATTTTACTGTGTTGATATAAATTTTATAAAAAAATATTTCATTTAAATAAAAGTTTTATACCCGCTTGAAAGGAATGTTTGCTAACAATTCAATTAGAAAAAATATATACATTATGTATAACAAAAGTAAAACTTCTTCAACAAAACATTTTACTATATAATACATCAATTTGTTTATATTTTTTTCACCAAATGTATATTTTCGCAAATACTTGTACAATTTACAAAAAAAATGCATAAAACATATATCCATGCAACCAAGGAATGGTAGATCAATATGAACAAAACTTTACCCTCAAAATACTGGAACATTCAAATTAGTTTGTACAAATCTTGTTATTATAATTATGTGACAATTATGATAACAATTTTTAGGATACATTAGTATAAAACTTTTCAATATAAACTTTCTGACTATCTATGTAAATGATTTTTCTATTTAACTGGCAACTTAAATCAGAATTTACCCATGTGACCAATGCAGACCAAGATCAATAGACCCATTAGTGTCATCTGAAAATTTTTCCTATAAATGATGAATGATATAAAACAGAAAAAAACCCTCTCCCCCCCCCCCCCCCCCCCCCCCCCCCCCCCCCCCAAGATAATTCAGTAAAGAAGCAACTATTAAGATTTTTATTGGTATATTCTTTTGTCATTCTTTATGCTCCACAAAATAATGGATATCAAAATTTATAATATAAAAATGTTAATTGCACAAGAGTTAGTCATGTTAGCTAATATGTGTATAAATTGTAGAATTTCTCATTTTAATGATCCTTGAATGGTAACCCAGGCTACCTATCATCATAAAAAAACACATAAATCATATCCATGTCAAGTATATAGAATGTGTACTGTAGATTACTAACAATTTTTTAATTTGAGACAGTTTCCATCTTCTGGTGTAAAAATAAATATTTCTGGTGTGAAAATATAAATATCTCCAAACATTTTTTAAAATATGAATAGTGATAAAGTATCATATGATATCTATATTTTTCACATGCTCATCGATAAAATACTAAAATTCTAGGTAGAGTGAGATATCATTTATATTAGTCACTGAATAATACATGTTTAAAGTTTTCCATGTATTTTTATTTGACATAGGATATAATCACATGAAAATGTGTTATTGTCAATTTTTTTTTCTCAGATAACCGAACAAGTCTGACTGAGTTGCAGAAATACATATGAATATTTCTTAATTTTCACATCTTCCTTGAAAAAATATCAGATATTTCACACTTTTCAGTGAAAAAATTGAAAACGGTAAAAATAAGCTTGAAATGGAACACAATAAAAACTGATGTCAGTTATATCAAATTGAATATCAAAAATAAAGCACTATCAGAGGAAAACAATGATACAAATCGTACAATAAATATATAAAAACAACTTTTAAAGCACTGCATTATTAACTTATCTTTTTATTTTCATGATATTTAGCACTCATAAAAAAAATATACTAAAAACATGAAAATTTTAACTATACTAAAAACATCTGGATAAAGAAAATACTACACATGATACAGTAAAGTCAAGAGTAGGACACTGCTCAAATATTCACAGTGCTTGGTAGTTATAATCAAGAGTTTGGATAATGAAGAATTATTTAATTTAAAAAGGGCTATAATTCTGCTAGAATCCATGTTAGTGTTATAAGCCTTGGACAGTGACCTTGTATTAAGCTCTAAAATAAGTGTGGATTTTGAACCCTTTGATTGTTTTGGAATTACCAACTTGAATGCAAAAACGTAAAGTGTGAAGCCAATGCCAGGGTGAGTACAACTGCTCTCCCTATTCTAATCAAGCTATCAATAAGTAAGTGTTTCAAATTATTCAGAATGAACCATTTAAATTCTAAACCTGTAGCCTGCTAGCTTCGCCCGACCCAGTCATGTGACCAGTGCAGGCAGTAATCAGCCAGCATATCCAGGCATGGGATAGTTTTTCATCATGGCATATTTTATGATATAGCAAATTTCCATCCATCAGCTATTAGTTTTAAACAACTGTAAAAAAAAAGGTTTTGGTGTCAAAACATCGTCTCAAAAGTAGACCTGGAAAAACATTAATGTTAAATAGTAGGAATGCAATAATTCGACATAATATATGTTATATGTGTTCGCAATGAAGCAAAATGTGATAAAAAATTTGTTGCTAGGATAAAATGGGTGGAATGACTAGAAAAATAAATATATTTTGAATGATTTACATTAAGTTAAAGTTTACAAGCTTTGTAACACTTCTGTGTACTTTAACTAAATTGTCTGTAAATAAAGTTTCTAGATCAGGGTCATGAGTTTGCACTGTGGCCGAGACACATTGTTTTCCTAAACACTGATGGCCATAAGCCACATGAACTTCCTCATGTAACCAGAGTCGTCAAACCATTCTGTAAAATCTATCTTAGATGACCAGACATTTATTAATGCTGATTGCTCATTCATCAAAACACATTTTTTACATTAAATTCCGTAAACTTATCAATTTAACAGTTTTTAAATTCAAAGCTGTGCAAGTCCATTACATAACATTTAGCTGGCTCAAGATTTAAGACAATGTAATTTGTCTTACTCCATTTTGTTCACCTCCACCATTGTTAATGTGGAGAAGTAGACAGTGACTTGTGGAGAACAAGTTTTTCTCAATATATCTAGCATGTGTATGACTAAAATACTATTTAAAAACAATCACTTCAGAAAAATTTAAAATGAATAAAATCTACCTTAAGCTTCTTCAAATCTAGTACAAATTAAATGTGTTTAACTTATCACAAAAAATAAATGCATGTGTATAAAGCATTTTTCTATTGGTCAGTTCTAACAATATTTTCTATTGGATAATTTTTACAAAAAATGCTATTGGTCAATTCTTAAAGAATGTATGAAGTCAGTCACAACCTATCAAATGCTTCAGTTGGGTGAGTATCTCAGTTACACTGCGATTACATAACAGCGCATCCTCGAGCTTCAATGGTGTTAAACATATAAATATATATATATATACGAGGGTTGTTCAAAAAGTAATAGGATTAAGTGTCTTGCATATTCATATTTCATTCAATTAAGAATATTGTCATATGTACAGCAATCGTAAAGTGTTCTCTACAATTTAAGCATAAGTTTATTAAATTATTTTGCAAAACGCGTGTTTTCTGCAGTATTGAATAACCATGGTAACACGCACCCGGCGCAGCACATCAAAATAGTTATTGAAGCGAAGGTGTACTTCAAATTTATTTATTATTTATTCTCTGTTTGTTTATATATTTCATCAACACGTTTAATTATAATTATGTGACAGTATGTGCAAATTTGACGAAATTCGGATATAAAATGGCTTAATTATTTAGTTTCAAACAACAGTGGTCATAACGTTAAATGGAAAAATATGGCATGTGTTAAAAAACTGTTAATTCGTGCTATCGTTAAAAATTGTCAACAGATTGGCTATTCTCATTCAGATACATACAAAATGATTAAATTAACGACGGACAAGCATCCTGCCATAAGAACACTTGTTTTCAGCTGGCACAAGCAATTCAAAAACGGCGAATACAAGGTCACTAACAAGAAAGAGCGAGGATGAAAGCGGAAAATTGACGGGACGTTAGTAACGTCAATTGCAAAAGCGCTACAAAATGATCGGCAGTACACGAGTCGCGAACTGTCCGGCATTTCTTATGTCTGCTTCGGGTCTATATATTTAGTTCTGACCGAAGGATTGACTATAAGAGCCTTGTCATAGTTACATGATTTAGACACCTAGAGCACTAGCGACAATACTTTCAGAAAGGATGATGCTTGTTACATTTTGTATTTATTTAACGATGTCAAGAACGTCATTTATTGTATGTTAGCGTGCGCCGGATTTCTGACCCCTTGTCATTTGAAAATTTCACAGAATTGTTACTTGTAATCATTTTGTTTTTATTTTTTCACTGTAGATAGAGAACATGTTCCGATAATTGTTTCTTGTAAAATTGTGTACATAAAATAAAAAATGTGAGCAGTAGAGCTGCAGTCCTATTACTTTTTGAACAACCCTCGTATATATAAAGTAGTTTCCTCACTCATGTGAACATCATCAATTCATATAGACTAGAACATAATTCACACAAAATGTCTATTTCCAACAATCACCATCCCCTACTGTAATTTACACAGAATACATCAAGTCATGTTCATTTAGCATCATGTTACATTTGTATAACTCCAGATATTGTTTCATTGTTATATCATGTTATAACACTCACTATTATGAATGTCATACTTAGGTCATGTTATAACTTTCAATGTTATGAATACTTATGTTCTTATTTCTGATGTAATGAAAGTTATAACTTCCGATGTTATGAAAACTATAAATATCATGTTATAACTTCCAATGTTATGAATATTTATATCATGTTATAACTTCCAATGTTATGAATATTTATATAATGTTATAAATTTCAATGTGATGAACACAAATATGATGTAATCCCATGCTGTTATACACGTTTCTATCATGTTATAACATTGTTGTGAACCTGTATCATGTTTTCTGCAATTATCTATCTATTATGTATGTTATAACTTCTCACACCTTTGTGTTAATTACTCTATCATGTTACAAAAACATGTATATCATGTCATTAATAACATCATCATGTTGTGTAATATATATAAATCATGTTATAACATCTCATGTTGTTTCTCCACAGCTTCTAACATGGCTTTAAACTTTGACTTATTACTGGCCATCAAATCTTTAGGTCTACCATATTCAACAACCTGAAATCAAACAAAAAATGTAAATAAAAAAAGCACTTTACACCTTCTCACTAAACTTATTAAGACATTCATTTAATGATTTACAATATCAAGGAAAAAGGATTTTATATAACATAAAACAAAGGCCATTTTATCAAACCCACATGCCACCCTGCAAAAGCAAGTATGAAGTCAGATAATAAGTAATAGAAAGAGCACCGAAACACGAGGCTATCTGATTTGTACGAGGGGGCGTAGCCCCCGAGTATTAATCAGATTGCCGAGTATTTTGGTGTTCTTTCTCTTTTGTATCATAGTCAAACATAAAAGCACGTTCCCTGTTGTCACAATATAAAACCTCGGCAAAAATGAACCAATAAAAGAACATCTGAATATGACATTTCTGTCGCTTTCCCTTTCTCTGCCGTCACAGTATGTAAACCCCAGCAAAAATGAGCCAATCAATGGGCATGCTCTGGAGTGCGGGTAACTAATACCCGCACTCCAGTTAACGCACTGTGCATGTATATGTATACGATTTAACCCTGACACATTTTCAACAGAAAGGTCTCCAAACTATGATACAAATACAGATATAGAGAAATGCATGAGCATTACATTTTTTATTTCTTTTATGTCAGGAAGGTATGATGGAAAAAGACGTTGAAAACAAGAAATCAAAATTTCTCTAGTAAAAAGTAAATATGCAAAATGGAACTTGCGTTTTGAACTGAAATTTTCAGTAGAATCTCGAACAGTCAGAATTGATTGAATTGATTTCTGATCACAAGCAAACATTTAAGGACTGGCAACTGAAGGATTAAAGCATTACCTGGTTTACAGTGTTAACCTTTCACCTTCAGTGCCAATGGTTTCTCCAGTTATCTAGCTGACATCATAATAAATTTCTAGGCATAAACAGCCTTTACTTTTTACCTATTTAACTTAAGAACTATAGAAGATTTCAGCTAGAGATAGTAATTAAACTATGAAGTTTGTAATTTGCCAACAGGAATCTTCTATAGTTACTTTATCAATTTATAAATTGACCTTGACCTTTGACTTATTTTTATTCATAAAGTTTATGATCCTGCAAAGTGTGCTTTAGTATCAATTTTGAGTGCATTGTTGTAGAATAATGCAGGGTTCAAGTTCAAATAAGCAGGAATATAATCACGAAGGCCGATATAGGCTGGAGAGATAAATTACCAAGCATTTGAACTATAAACTGTGCATTATTATACTACATGTATAATGCAAGAAAAATTGATATTACCGCTATTATACTATAATGCAAGAAAAATTGATATCTATTTCCATTCTAATATGTAAAAAAGAGAATTGCTTAAATTATTTTGAACTACATTGAGCGTAGAAGTGATTTTTCTGACGCCATTTGGTTTATTGATGTCATATATGACGTCATATGATGTGTTTTCTTTAGGGGTTTTTTATGCACTTAATTGCATTATCTGTTTGATAGGGGAATAATTTAGAATTAAAATATATACACACCTTTCCTTCTTCCATTACAAGAATTCTATCACAACCTAGTACTGTATTAAGTCTATGTGCTATAATTAACATGGTACATTCAGCAAAAGCTTCTTTAATTGTTTGTTGTACAAGAGAATCAGTTTCTGTATCTATAGCTGCAGTGGCTTCATCTAGCATTAAAATCTGAAATTATAATAAAAACAGTTGTCATGGCAACCAGTACTTAAATCTTAAGAAGCGACAGTTATAAAGGAGGGCCTATGATGTAAAACAGCAAAGAAAATGCAAGCTAGTGTACCTTTGTCTCTGACTAGACTAAATTTGTTACATCTTTAAATCTCTGATTTTTAACAAAATTTTACCTTTTTGCAAAATCAGTAGTAAAAAGGATTACCAATAGTAGAATACCTCTATCAAAGGATATCTTAGATATACAGAACAACATCTACACAACAACCCCTTTTGGGAGGCAAATGTTTTGGTTGTATAAGTGAGCTGTTGCTCTAGAAAGATAAAGTTTATTGTTAAATAAGTCTTACTTGGTAACAACTGATAATGGTAGTCATAAGTATGTTATGGCTCAACAGAGGGCCACTCTGCATAGGTTGCACTGTACAAAATAATGTCAATATTTTAAAGAATTGCTGATTGAATTCATGAAAATGATTTCACCTTACTATTTCTGAGAAGAGCTCTGGCCATACAATACAATAATCTCACCTTACTATTCCTGAGAAGAGCTACAATAATCTCACCTTACTATTCCTGAGAAGAGCTCTGGCCATACAATACAATAATCTCACCTTACTATTCCTGAGAAGAGCTCTGGCCATACAATACAATAATCTTACCTTACTATTCCTGAGAAGAGCTACAATAATCTCACCTTACTATTCCTGAGAAGAGCTCTGGCCATACAATACAATACCCTTACCTTACTATTCCTGAAAAGAGCTCTCACCATACAATACAATAATCTCACCTTACTATTCCTGAGAAGAGCTCTGGCCATACAGAGCAGCTGTCTTTCTCCAACAGAAAAATTCTCACCATTCTCAACTACCATGTGATCTAACTTTAACTCTAATGACATTATCTGTAAAACAGATAACAAAACGTAAGACTCATATCCATAAAACAATGAAATTATTCTTCTTATGATTACATAGCAAAGAATGGCTTAAAATGAAGTTGTCTGTGGATAAATGGCTGGAGTGAAAGATGGCGAATCACTTACTTGCAGAAAATTGCTTAGGACTTCGGATTTGGAAGGTGTCCAGCTAAATTACAGAAGTTTTACCCAGGTGCATTCTCCAGCATGAAATTATGCACTGAAGGACATCAAAGGTCACTACATGACCTTTACAAAGTAAATCTGAGTGAATTAAATCTAACATTACAAGGCTATTTTATTAAAGCATAGGTTTGGGGAATGTTTATATTTGTTTATAATTATGCTTGGTCCAAAGCTTTAGACATAAGTTTGTGTGAACAAGGTAAAATTAACCTAGTTGACACACAACAGAAAAACAAACATTAACAATACTTACAGTGTCTTTAACATGACATTTTTCTAAAGCTTCCCAAATATCTGCATCTTTGTATTTGGAAAATGGATCCAAGTTGTACCTGAAATTAAAGGATATCTCAGTGTTGAAAGAGAACAAATAAAGTTTCTTATAAAACAAGAATCTGTGTTTGATAAACACAAATGCCCCCGCGCTCACTGTTGTCAATAATTTAACTTTAGTGAAGTAGCTAATTTGCATGGAAGACCTTGACCAAACTGACCCCTAACTCCATCCAAAGGAAGAATATCATGCAACTTATTTTCCTACCAAATATGAAATAAATCTGTCAATATATAAAGGCTGTATGGGCAAAAGTGTAAAAATCTATTTTTAGCACTGTTGATCTTGACCCAACTGACCCCTAACTCCATCCAAAGGAAGAATACCATGTAATTTATCTTCCTACCAATCATAATACAAATCTGTCAATAAATAAAGGCTGTATGAGCAAAGGTGTAAAAATCTATTTTAGCACTGGTGACCTTGACCCAACTGACCCCTACCTCCATCCAAATGAGAATACCTTAATTTTAAGTTCCTACAAAATATACAAGACATCTATCGATAGAATAAGGTTAATACAACTGTAAAAGTGTAAAAAAAAATCATTTTTGACATTGGTGACCTTAACCCAAATGACCCCTTACTAAAGGAAAAGGAAGAGGACCTCCCTTGGTATGACTATTATAAACATGAAAGACATTAACTTAAAAATAAAGGCTGTATGAGCAGAAATGTTTAGTGACCTTGACCTTGACACGCCTAACGCCACAAAAAATTAGAGGACCGTTAAAGGTATCACTAAATAAATTAAGTAATTAGTTGAAATTTTTTGATAAATCCAACTTGCCAGTTTAGGTTAACCATTATTCCTTTTCTAAGTGCTGAAAAGGGCCATAACTTGGTGCAAATGGAAGCCATAGTTATGTTACTTGCCCAGATCATATACTTTGTATGGATTAGTAAGTGTGTAAATTATGAAGCCATTGGTACAGGTAGAACTTAAGAAAAATCCAACTTGCTGTTCTAGGTTGACCTCGTAAGGACAAACGTTTGGGTTTAGGGGCTATATAACAGCAAAGAGAACAAAAGAGAACAATAGGTTCATTCCGTGATCAAAGGGTTTAAATATCAAAAGTTGGTACGGACAGACGGACAGATAGACGGACTGACGGTTCAATTACTACATGCCCGATTATCATGACATTTATATAATTTTATATTTACCGCTCCTTTCAATATATGACTTTTTTCTCTAAAAAAGAAAGTTTGCTGTATTATAAATTCTTTATAAATATATATAAACTGTGGTTGGCAATATAACCATCACCTAGCAGCTCGGGTTATATTTTAAAACAGCCATTAATATAGGGTCATATAACCTGTCAAAAATTTTTATAACTAATAATACATATGTAGATATTATTTTAATATTAACATCCAATCAGAAATAACTTCAGTTTAAAGTACACCTAGCCGTCATGAAAAAACTCATTCTTTTTTACAGTCTAATTTAACACTACATGTCAACACACTTACCTAACTGTGCCCACAAAGAGTACAGGATCTTGTGGTATAATGGCCAACCTTGACCTCAAATCTTCTAGACCTATTGTTGTTATATCTATATTATCTATATAAATAGTCCCTGATGTTGGTTCAACCAATCGAAATAAAGCTACACCTAAAGATGATTTCCCTGTAAAAATATAACATACATGTACTGACTGCCCTGTCTAGAACCCTTTATCTTCTGAAATTTTGGAACTTTTTTAGGGTGGGGGTTTACCAGTAATATCTATATAGCATAAATTATATGGAAAAAAGGCCTGCAATATCACTTTAACAAATCAGGGCCACATCAACCAGTATAGGTAATATGGCAACTTCCCAGCTTTACTGGTGGAGGAAGACCTCATATGCCCTTTCGTGCATTATTTCAGGCAAGAACAGGCAACTGAGTAGAACCATTGGCATTCCATAGCTAGCTAGATGGCTTCCTTACATGAAAGAATCCAAATCCAAAGTCCCTGTTAGGATTAGAAACCACAGCCGCTAAGGGATAGTAGCTTAAAGTCAACAGCCTAAACCACTCTGCCACAGACATCCCTACATGTACTTCAAATAGTAGTCAAAACTATAAAATGTATTTGATGTGTACATGTATTTTGATAAATTAGTTTAAAAAATATTTTGCTTAATTATGTCAATCATACACATACAAACAAATCCCAATACAATTTAGAAACGGGACTAAGAGTAGACAATGACTTTTGTAAATCTCTCTCCTTATGATACCCGTGCCACTTTTGATAAAAATGGTATTGCACGGCCGTGTTTATATTTTGACGTAATGTCATTCAAGTTATACAAACATTCAGTTAAGACGCACTATATGATAATATTACGCTATAAGAGCGTCACTGAAAAAATGATTTTTACTGTAAACAGTTCTGAGTTTGGATATGTGATAAATAGAATATTAAATTCGTGTAAGTTCATTACTAAATTTATTGAACTCTTTGAATCAAATAATTATATGCTTGCCAGAGGCTAGCATATTATCATTTTATTCAATTTGTTCAATAAACTTATTCAATATCCTCTATATATTGAACCAAATAACTACAGAATATACAATCAATGAAGCTAAGAGGTAAACGAAATATCAAATCTACCCACCTGATCCGGATCTTCCAACAATACCTATCTTCTCTTTGGCTTTAATTGTAAAACCGACAGACTTCAGAGCTAAGGGGAGGTTATCCCTATATCTCATTTTGTATTTATCAAATTTTATCTCCCCTGCATTTGGCCAATCGGCTGGTGGTCTGTGATCTTTAATAATAGCTGGTCCCTCAGATTCTACATCCTGTGCATATAAAATATCAATACAAAATAATGTTACAAAATAACAATATAAAATAATCATAACAAATAACAATACAAGATAACAAAGATAACAATACACAATAACAAAACATAATAACAAATTATATTATAGTTAAACTTCGTTTACTCGAACTTCGATCGCTTGAATACCTCCCTTCACGCGAACTCATTGACCAGTCACCTTAGTGCAATAACTGAATAGCTGCTTTTAAATTTAGAAGCACTTATTATGTTATTGCACTAAGGTGACGATATATTGTTCTACGCACCGATTGCTCAAACTCTAGAAACTAATCTCTGGTCCCTTCCACAGAAATATAGTGAAAATCACACCTTTTCAGTCGAACACAAAGAGACAACAAAAGTTGTGGGTCGACATGTTCTAAATAAGTGACAGCCAGCGACACATGTATTTAACACCTCATGATTGTGATAAAGGCAATTAAGGTTAATTGATACAAAATGAGGTGTTGTAACCACTTTCTTTGTTATGATAATATTGTTTATTTGCCGTCTTTAGTAATGCTTAAAAGAAAATAACTCGTGAAATGTGCAAAAGACATTAAACAAGCAATTATCATAGTATTGCAAGCAATCCATAAGTCCCCTACCGGTTAGAACCCCATCAACATTCTGAAGGGCCATTGGCCATTCACTAATGTTTCAGTTTTTCTCTATTTTAAGTAAATTTGTTGGAAAAGTTCTTTAAAAGTGATCACAAGAAACAGTTTTTATGAACAGACAGACAGACGGACTGAGGACACTCTAAAGTTAATATTTGAAACACCCCTGTTACCAAAATATAACATTTTAAAAGCAAAATTCTTAAAGAGGATATAACTTTTGAATTAAAGATGCAATTTCATAAAAATTTTCAGCTCTTTTTGACTAATCACAAATATTGTTATATTTGCCATGTTTTAAGCCTATTTGTTGCCAAGGCAACTGATATTTTATCAAAATAGGAAGAACAGATAAGACATGCATAATCTCAAGACTGCTATCTACCCATATGTCAAGTTTCATAAAAAATATTTCCAGTACTTTTGAGTTATCACTGGATTCAGTTTATGTGTAAAATTTGCCAAAATTTTCAGTCTATGTGTTGCCATAGCAACCAGAATTTTCAACATAAGAAGAAAAGAAAAAAGACGTGCATAATCTCAAGACTGCCATCTACCCATATGTCAAGTTTCACAAAAATATTTCCAGTACTTTTTCCGTTATCACTGGATCCAGTTTATGTGTAAAATTTGCCATATTTTCAGCATATTTGTTGCCATAGCAACCAGAATTTTCAACATAGGAAGAAAAGAAAAAGACGTGCATAATCTCCATACTGCCATCTATCCATATACCAAGTTTCATAAAAATATTTTCAGTACTTTTCAAGTTATCGCGGGATCCAGTTTTGTGGACGGACGGACTGACAGACTGACAGACGGACGGACAGACGGACGGAGGGTAAACCTAAAGTCCCCTCCGGTAAACCGGTAGGGGACTAATAAATGATGTTTACTTGAGCGGCTTTAATTACAGCCGTGGTTCATGAAACAGTGTTATCTTTATAGAATTATACTTGTATGTGTGTTTAGTTTAGAAAATGAAAAGAAATAAATGCTACTGTTAAATGGGTTTTTTTAATATTTATTAATTCAATGTTTGAAATAAAATTTATCCCATAATAAACATATAAATATATTTTGAACATTGTTCAACAAGTTTGGAAAATGATTGCCCAATCATACTCAACCAATAACAATATGCATGAATATAGATTAACACAGTGTACCGTTAATACTCATTTGTAAACACTGGGATAATAATTTTTTAATATTTACAAGAAATGACGTATTCGACGAACTGATTTACTAACAAACAATTATGTTGATGTATTTATCATTAGACTGATGTAAGCTGGCGTATGTCTTATGTGAAAATAGTTCAACCTTGATTGGCTCAAACTACCGATCTCTTTAACTTATTTACACAGGCCCTCCCGAGTTCGAGCGAACGAAGTTTGACTGTATTTAATATACATGTATGTGTTAACTTGGCAGTATGAATGTTATATAATAACTTTGTGGTTATCTCTTATTCTTTGTCTTGTTTTAGGTTTGTAAGCGAACAGCATGGATCCTGATCAGACTGCGCAGGCTGGTCTGGATCCATGCTGGTCGCAAACGCATTACGTTGGTTTCGTCATGGCGCGGCTCAAATATTTGGATAAAAAAAGCATAGTACCTGAGAATAATGTTGAAGTCTCTGAACAGCCACAAATTTTGCCTCACTCTCAATAGCTTGTCTTATTGTAAACTGGAACAGCCCAGTCATCTGAAATATCAGTTACATATTTTACATACATCAAGTCAAATTATATGCAATCCAAGGCAAAATTAAAATTTATATGTTTTTTTTTCTTTCTATAATAGTAGTGAAATTAAGCCAAATTATTCTGCATTTTCTTTTTATGACTTAAATCAAGTTTATGAGTAATTTTCAAGAGAATATTTACATTAAACAAGAGAATATTTACATATAACAATGGATACACAAAATGTTTGACTGCTGAAATTCAACTTATGAAATTAAACTTTATACAGTCAACAATATTCATTGATAACCATATAAAAATATGAATAAGTTTACTTGAAGAATTGATAAATTCCTAAAATGCGATAATAAATTAAATATAACATAATATCGTTTCAGTTTAGAACATACGTTATAAAATACAAACTGATCATTAACATAAAAGAGGCAAAATGAATATACATATGAAAAAAATTTACATATAGCAAAAAAATTTATTCCAATTTTTTGTGAAGTGAGTTAAAAATTTATGGTTAAACTTTCCTCAGAATTTGCAAGTTTCATACCTGAATTGCAAAGGAGAAAGCAAGTCCGGCTACAGCTGGATTCAGACTGTCATATGTTAGAACTATACATAGACCAGTAACTCCTACGATAGCTGTACTCATGAGATCTAGACGGAATGCCAGCCAACGATTTGAACAGTAAAATAGATAAAAATACCCCGAATTTATGTCCAACAACTTATGAAATCTGAGAAAAAAAGATAACATAAAATAAACATGTAATTGGTTTCAGTATTTGTATAAGCATAAGGGATTAAACATATTATCCACAAAAAATTTCATCAGATGTTAAGTAGGAAATAAAATGCAAGTACTGTCCAAAATATCAAAATAATCAGCATCAAACTAAATTTTAAAATGCATATTTTTTTTTCTTTTTCTTTTTTTCTTTTGCAAAAAACAACAACAACAACAAAACAACAACAACAGAAACTTTAAATGACTACACTAACAACCAACAAATAGCACCCAATTTGTTAACTTTCTTTAATCCTTGGTTAACCCATACAACACTAAATATCTTAAATGGACATAAGTCTATAAGGTTTTAACCATCCATTGGTTTTAAGGAAATTTCAAAACATGCACTGACTGAATAGTGAACATTGCAAAGGCAGCACTGAATGCAGTGATGTGCTTTCTAATCTTGGTCATTCCTAGTTTCATTGGTAATATCTGTTACCGCAAGCAAACAAAGGGTAAAATGACAGTATCAACTCCCTTTATATTTTTTAATGACAATGCCAACTAAATACAATTGTAGAGCCAAGTCAGCCTGCCTCCCATGCAAACTTACCAAGTTACCAGACTCTCTACACTGACAACTGTTTAGTTGTAATAAACTAATATAGAAATCTTAACAATGACAGCACCAAAAATCAAATCAAAGTGAGTAACAATTATTGTGCAAGTTAAAGGTATTGTTTCTTTTTTTAAATTTTTCGTTTTCAGGTATAATTGGGATAAAATGATAACTTACTTATCAAGGAACTGTTCTGTTTTGCCGTATGCATGAACTGTGCTGATACCCTGAACTGTCGCAGTCACATGACTTATTACCGGAGACTTTGTAATGGCATTCATACGCATCAACTCCCGTACCTAAAATAAACATACTCTGTATTACAATGTACTATAACATGCAACAAGTCATCTTTCAAGCTTTTACTGACTGTTTTTTGTTTGGCTTTACAGCACACAAACACAATTTAGGTCATATGGCACAGAAATTTGAAGAAGCCTGAGAATAACAAATGTTTCTGGCCAAAAAAAGCACACAGGAAGAAGCACAGACCTAGTTACTGGATAACTTCTTAACCACCCCTGATGGGATTCAAACCCATAGAGCTGAAGAAAAAATAACTTAAAGTAAGTAACTGAAACCAAGTAGCAAGAGGCTGCTGAAATCCTGAATAATTATCAGAGCAGAGTGTTTTGCTTTAGTACCATTTTAAGCAGGATGCCTGGATTTAACCAATTATAAACTTCTCAAAAACTCAAACTTCTCTCCAAAAAATTCATCTTAATAAGCTTGTGCAACTTACCCCAGATGTGAAGACCACATTAAGAGCCAGGAAACATAATGTTAAGGGAACCAGTGCGATCAGGAACCAAGGTATAATAGATGCAATTATTCCAATAGCAAACAAAATAAGTAACGAATTCTGTAGAAACATCTCACTCGTGCCTGGTAGGCGGACATCAACTGTTGCAATAGAAAATAATATTTTTTTTTAATTTTTGCGAATCTTTAGTAACTGTAACAGCATACTGTTAACACTGAAATGTATCATAATGGTTCTTTTTAATGCCCGATTGGGGAGCGAGGTAAAAAATTTCTCTGCAAAAATCTTGTTTAGGGTGTCTTTTGTTGGTCTCTAAATATAGGGAGTAAACAGGGGCGTTAATTGGAAACCATACGGTATGGTATATGACTACTTCCTTTTTTTTCTGGCATGGTATTTCCTATAACTTTTGATTTCGCTAATTTTATAAAAGATAATAGCATGTTAAATTTTTCTGGTCTTTCATGATGAATGATTGCAGCATATTTCTTGTTGTATGTTAAATATTTCTTTCCGACAGTGCTTAACTCTATGAAGTACAAAAGATTTGGCACATGGTCTCTCATGAACAGACTCAAATAAACCAAATATACAATTTATATATTTTTCTATTGCTTCTAAGGGATTTCCATTCCCAGAATTTTCATGGCAAGTTACGTGTCAAACATTTTCCTCTATAGCATATAATTTATAACTTACAAAATGAAAAAAATTCATGCTTCACAACAAATAAATTCTATGTAACAATTATTGATTCAGTTATTGGTGCATATCCAATTTGCAAATTAAATAAAATTATATCATTAAATCAGGGTTAGGCTAAATAAGTACCAAGTAGTTAAATATCAACAAAATTTACATACTTTCATCAAGATCCGAAGAGAATCTGTTGATAATTCTTCCGACTGGTGTGGTGTCAAAAAATGTCATCGGTGAACCCATCACTTTCTTGAAAATGTCATTGTGCATGTTGCTGGATGCCCGCAGTGTTACCTAAATTGAATTATGAGAACATATACTAAATTTATTCTGTTATAAGTCACATCTTTCATTTCAATTTAGAGGATTATACCATAATGCAACTTAATGGTTTATCATAAAATGGTATAAAACATCCGTGGTTGAGTGGTTATGGTTGATAACTTCAAACCACTTGTCAATGGGGAGTGGTGGCATAGTGGTTAAGGTGTCTGCCTCTCAACCCAGGGATCATGGGTTTGAGCCCTAATCAGGTCACGACTTTTCTTCATATGACACCAGAACTGGTTGGTTTTTCAGGAAGCGATTAATATAAGTTGCAAGAACTTGTTTCGCATTTGAGCTGAATTAAATATGTATAAACCAAACCAAACTTGTCTATGTTAACTTGCTGATGGCTACAAAATCTACCCATGCTTTCAGTGCAGACGTAGGTCAGCCGGCACATCCATGCTATCTGATCATGTTCTGCACTGTCTGCTATTCAGTCAGTTCATGTTTCGAAATTTTTGCTTAAATAATGAACAATCATCTCATCCGGATTAAAATAATGATGATCAATTTTTTATATCCGAATTAATTCTATAACGTTATACCTTCATGAAAACAAATGCTCGTAAGGTGGTCATTACAATTATGACAGCAACACTGCAGCCGTATATTGTCGTGTAAAAGCTCAGGTCTGGATGGTCTGATATACTATTACTGATATATGATATATTTCCATTTGTTATTGTTGTGTTCTGAAAACATAATATTATACTCATTTAAGACATTAAAACACCTAACGTATACAGTTTTAAGCACAAGCAAATTGTTTCCCTAGCCATTCAACTCTGAGAGAGCGTGCCAGATAGTAAGTAAACTAGAACTGCCATTATCATGGCGTGAATACCCCCGCATACCACTTTGTCAGAATCAACAGTGGCCATTTAGAGCTCAAAGACAACCTCCCTGCCAAATCTGAGGTTACTAAGCCAGTGCATTGCTAAGTTATGTATTCTACATGCTTCAAATGTGAAATGTCAAAATCAATACATTGCGACAGGACATTCTTTAGCAATGAGAAGAAAGCTTTTTTTTGTCAAGGTCCCTGTGACCTTGACCTTTTGACCCAGTGACCACAAAATCAATAGGGGTTCACCTTATAGTCATGATCAACATCCATGCCAAATGAAGACTTGAGTCAAAGGAATCTTAAGTTAATGGATGGAACAAACTTTTTGAAGGCCCCTGTGACCTTGACCTTTGGACCTACTGACCTCAAAATCAATAGGTCATCTACTAATCATGACTAACCTCCATGCCAAAATAGACGACTGTAGTTCAAAGGAATCTTAATATTGGCAGACAAACTTTTTTGAAGTCCAAAGTCCCTGTGACCTTGACCTTGACCTGGTGACCTCAAATCAATAGGGGTCATCTACTAATCATGACTAACCTCCATGCCAAATAAAAAGACTAAGGCGTCAAAGGAATCTTAATTATTGGGCGGACAAGAAAAAACCGACGGACGCGACAGCCGACGTACCAAATTTGATGTTATGAGGCAAATGAGCTCATAAAAATTAGCTCATTAAAAACAAAAAAAAAAGCTCTTAATTTGAATTTTATGATTTATGTTCTTTATTTAACTCGCGGAATGAAGCTCATAATAATCAAATGTTGGCGCGGACGGACAGCCGGACGGATGGACGGACGGACAAGCTGATTCCAGTATACCCCCCTTACAACTTTGTTGTGCGGGGGTATAATAAGTCCAGCTTTTGCCTTTTTTTTTAAACCTGCAAAGCTGGATTAATGCTAAGGTTTTGCCTTGGCATTTAAATAGCAAAGGATGTGCTCAACTCTCGGTGCTGGGAAATTTACCAGGGATTTAATCATAGCATGACAATCCAGAAAAAATTTATTCTAAACCTATATGGGAAAAATTTTACAAAATGGTGCTTTCTAGAGCTTACAGAAAAAAAGAAAAAACTCAGTAAAAAACAAAACCCGAGTTAGGGACCTTACCCATTTAAATATCACGGGGGCCCCTAAAAATTTCATGAAAAAGGCCAAAGTTTGGGGGCTACACCGGGTAAAATACAATAGCCCCCCTCTTACAATGTTGAGCTATGAAACATCCAAAAACTAATCAAAAAAAATATTTTGCATATCAGCGCGTTTCCGTTTGTTTTACCCATCCGGAAAATTTCATCTGGCATGGGGGTTTTCCCGATGATCCGGGGCTTTCAATGGGAATTAGGATGACGTCAATTTTCCTTTTAATGAATTGTTATGATACGTGTTGTAAGAAATAGTTAGGGGAGAATGATATTTTTTCATTAAAATAAAGATAAAAATTAAAATATAATGAAAATGGTAGAATAGCAAAAAAATTCGACTATTTTTGCGGTTTTTCGATCAGAATGTCTGTCCCTATCCCCCAAAGGCGGTAACCGCAAAACCTCTTTACCCCCCAATGCAGTCACCTTGGGGCTATATTCCAATCCGAACCCCAAAATATGAAATATTATTATTAAAAACACAAATTATCAAAAAAAAAAATTAAATAATACCCCACACCCCTTTCTTAACCAAAGTATAAAACCCCCAGCTGGGAAATGACGGATGCATATAAACAAAGGGGAGTAAAACTAAACTAACACAAATACCGCCGCAACTTTTAAAACATCCGGTAACCGGGCCCCCCCCTTTTTTTTTCTCCCGCAAATAAATTCACCTACAAAAATAAAATTATATTGACAATAAATTATTTTCTTTGAAATCAAGGAATTTTTACAAAAGTCAAAGCTCTTCACTTCCAATAATATTATTATAGTAATACATGTGCGTATGGGATAACTTTTCTCATATTATACACACGCTTGTTTTCAGCTAAAGCCTCATACAAAATAATAATTATCCTAAACTGATAAATATATAATTTTTATTATGTTTATATTTATATCTAGAATGTTTATGAACATAATGGCAACGTTTTCAGCTTTACTGTTAGAGGAAAACCTCAAATGCCCTTTCCATGCACTATTTCAGGCTAATAAAAAACAGGCACCATAGAAGACCTGCCAACTTTTTTTTTGCAAATTTGCTACCTAACATTAAAGAATTTTAAGACCATGGCAAATATGTGAATTTGAACCATGAATTACAGATTTAAACTTTTTTCTTCTCAAATGTGAGGCAAGAGTTCAAAGCAATTTTAGTAACTCTTTTTTGTAAATATACTGACCTTTTGGTTCATGGTCATCCTCAATACTAATTGTTCTGTTTGACATGACACTCATCTGATGTAATAAGTTTGTCTTTGACCTTGGTGACCTTGGTGACCCCTGTGACCCTCGAGAACAAGAGGAAATAGTCCTCTGTCTGAAATTCTCTGGCTGGTCTTGAGAAAACTGTCTGTGCATAGACTTTGGTCTGCCTTTAAAAAAAACGTACATGTATATAAGAAAACAGTCATTGAATCACAAAGGAGCTCCAGTGAGGTTAAAAAGACTAACAAGATAAGTCTAAAAATTCTTACACAGATCAAATAAAAATTTACAAATTTGGTCAGAATTGAATTTAAAATCAATTTTTTTTGTGTGATTCTTAGCTTAATGTGAGTGAAAAGTATTACAAGCTTTTTATTTTTGGTAATTTTGCACCAAAAATGATGATTCTAGTAACAAAAGGGCCATGATGGCCCTGAAGTCGCTCACCTGTATATAGACCCCAGGAGCAGGGCCAGTTTAAACCCTAGGGCTTTTATTTGAACAAACTTGGTAGACACCCATTAGAAGATGTTTCATGCTCAACATCTAAGGTCTAGCTCGATGGGTTTTTTCAAAGAAGATTTTTTCAAGCTTTTCTTTACACATATAGTTAAAAACAATGACACACCTGGCACCTGGGGCAGGGACAGTTTTGACCCCAGGGCTTTTATTTGAACAATCTTTGTAGACACTTACTAGAAAATGTTTCATGGTAAATATCTAAACTCTAGCTATTTGGGTTTTTTCAAAGAAGATTTTAAAGTTTTTGCTATACATATAAGGAAAATCAATGTCCCCCAGGGTGGAGCCAATTTTGACCCCAGGGCTTTTATTTGAACAAACTTTGTAGACACTCACTAGAAGATGCTTCATGTTTAAAATCTAAACTCTAGCTATTTGAGTTTTTTCAAAGAAGATTTTTTAAGTTTTCGTTATACACATGTAAGGAAAATCAATGACCCCGGGACGGGGCCAATTTTGACCCCAGGGCTTTTATTTGAACAAACTTGGTAGACACTCACTAGAAGATGTTTCATGCTTAGTATCTAAACTCTAGCTATTTATGTTTTTTCAAACAAGATTTTTTAAGTTTTTGTTATACATATCAATCAAAATCAATGACCCCGGGGCCAGGCCAATTTTGACCCCAGGGCTCTAATTTGAACAAACTTGGTAGACATCCATTAAAACATGTTTCATGCTAAATATCTTAGCTCTAGCTCTTTGGGTTCTTTAAAAGAAAGTTTTTTAAGTTTTTACTATATGCATATAGGGAAAATCAATGACTTCCTGGGGAAGGGCCAATTTTGACCCCAGGGCTTTTATTTGAACAAACTTGGTAGACACTCACTAGAAGATGTTTCATGCCAAATATCTAAGCTCTAGCTCTTTGAGTTTTTTAGAAGATATTTAAAGTTTTTTCTTTCGGTTGTCATGGCAACCAGAGTTCTGCATGGAATTAAATTCTTTGAACAATTTTCAAAGGTGACCACCAAAGGAACATTCCTGTGAAGTTTGGATGAAATTGGCTTAGTGGTTTATGAGGAGATGTCATTTAAAGTAAAAGTTTATGGACGCCGGACGAAAAGCGATCACAAAAGCTCACCCTGTCACTTTGTGACAGGTGAGCTAAAAACTAGGAGAGTGAATGGTCAGACAATTTGTACACAGGTTATTGGCACTGACCATCATCAAAAAGTACACTAATATTGGAAAAATATTTCCAGTCTGGTCATGTAAAAAAAACTAAGTTGGTGTCCCTTCAAATACATTTCTCCTCTTTCCGTAAAGAAACTAGCAGCAGTACATAAGACTATTACTTTTTTTTGCATTTATGGCATGTAATAATACTTCAAACAAACTGAATTCAACCTTTTTTGCAACAGGTTTCAATCATAATAACACTTGAATGACACAGCTTATATCTGCCCCGTCACATGACATGACGTAGGAAGTCACTATATCTACTGATAAGGCAAAGGGCATTTTCCCATTGTTGAAAGAAGAAGTATAATAATATTTACCTCCTAAACTATCTAAACTAGCTTCTTTTTCTTTTTCCTGAGTGTAAAATATCTTTATTAGGTTAGCATATTCTGTGTCGGCTTTCATCATCTCGCTGTGTGTGCCTGTGTCTGTAATCGCACCGTCTCTCATAAATATCACCTGGTCACAGTTACTCAAATACTGAAATATAAATAGTCTGTAATCGCACCATCTCTCATAAATATCACCCGGTCACAGTTACTCAAATACTGAAATATAAATAGTCTGTAATCACACCATCTCTCATAAATATCACCTGGTCACAGTTACTCAAATACTGAAATATAAATAGCCTGTAATCGCACCATCTCTCATAAATATCACCTGGTCACAGTTACTCAAATACTGAAATATAAATAGTCTGTAATCGCACCATCTCTCATAAATATCACCTGGTCACAGTTACTCAAATACTGAAATATAAATAGTCTGTAATCGCACCATCTCTCATAAATATCACCTGGTCACAGTTACTCAAATACTGAAATATAAATAGTCTGTAATCGCACCATCTCTCATAAATATCACCTGGTCACAGTTACTCAAATACTGAAATACAACTGAAATTCTGTAGAAAAGTTCTACTTGCCATAAGTGCAAAAACTGTAAAAACCATTAATCAAAAAGTGTAATTGAACTTTCAATGAATGTATAAAATGTTTAACTCCCATTACAATTACAACTCTTACAAATTAACAACTTCAAGTTTTGGCGTATCAATTACAAAGCTATTTTCAGGTTAGATAAAGACAAAATATCCTGAGCCTTAAAAGTACTATTTATTGGCTAACTTGGAATTACTAGTGTAACTTTAACTGAAAGAGAGAAAGTATAAATCTGTACCTGAAGTTGATGAGTTACAAAGAGCACTGTTTTTCCTTTCAATTGTTTCATGATACATTCTGAGAATATATGTCTTCCTATGTGTATATCAACTGCTGAGAGAGGGTCGTCCAATAAGTAAATATCTTTATTACTGTAGACAGCACGTGCCAGACTGATCCTTTGTTTTTGTCCTCCACTGAGATTGATCCCTCTTTCTCCTATCTGAATTTTCAGTACAAATGAAATTCTTATAAAACAAATACAATATAACCTCTGATGGAATTTAATATGATAAAAACATATATATGACACATCATAATATACATTTTAAATCATTTTTCAACTGAAGGAACTACTCTTCGGAATCTAAGCCATGACTCTCTAAAAAATGAGATGGGTGCACTATCGCTACGACACCACTGTAACAAGCTTAAGTCAACATACAGGGGTAACTTTAACCATGAAAAAACTACTTAAATGATAAACTATATTTAAAGATAATATCCTATAATTGCGATGTAAGGGCAATGACTGGAATGTCTAGCTCAAAGGGTACTTGTTTACAGCAGTTACGAGGCTCTGCCAAGTTCCACTAAACAGTTACGTTGAGAGCTACATAATCCTGTCTGTGATGACAGCCAGTGTTTGATTCTTTTTCTTGCATATTACAAATAAATAATATTTTGCAAAGATATAATGAAAAGCATAGCACTTATTTCTTATAGTAGCATATGAATTTGAACTTCATTTGTAACGGCACAATGACATCATCCTTAGAACGCAATTTATTCTTAAAAGGCCCGTGGGAATGATGTCATTAAAAACAATGTGACTTGTCTTACATGGGAGATGCAGAAAGGTTTTTCTAGCACCGGTCTAAATGGTTTATAATTGTGTCTGATATGCAAGAAAATCAAAACATAAATCTTACCTCTGTTTGATCCCCATCAACAAAATCTGAGAAATCTTGAATTAAAGCACAAGATTCAACCACTGCCAGGTATCTACAATAAAATCACAGGAATAATATAAAATATGGTTATATTTTAGTATTGCCACCATTTTAAGAACGATATATCTTATATTTTAGCATAGCTACCATTTTAAAATTGCAGTATATCAGTTATGTACAAGCTGGTAATAATTTCACCATTTGTTTTTTTTTTCCAATTTCAAGTAATTTTTACTACTGCTCACTTGTTAAATAACTTTGCTTTAGAACTAATGGCCTTTGCTATCAGTTTTGTTAAATTTATATAATATACATGTATAGCAAACATTTATTTTTCTTGAAATTATTTATTTTGTGAAATTATCTAATTTAAATCTCTCATGAAAATTTCTGAGTTTACATTATTACCTATCTGGATCATATGGTTCACCAAACAAGATATTATCCCTCACTGTAGTGTTCATTATCCAGGCCTGCTGGGTGACATAGGCCAGTGTACCTTGTACTGCAACCTTTCCTGATACATGGAACATCTGTATAATATATCAATGTGAATATAGTCGATAAAATATGTTATACAGATACCTTAACAAGACTAGCAGTCTCATGCTGGCAAATGGCCTCTGAGGTCAAGTGATTAAGGTTGTTTACTTCAAACTACTTGCCTCTCATTTCTGTGGGTTCAAGTCCCGACAGGATCTTATGACTCTTTCATGTGAGGAAGCTATCCAACTAGCTTATGGAAAGTCAGTGGTTCTCCTCAGATGCCTGTTTATACCAGAAAGAATGCATGAAGGATTCATGAGGTCTTCCTCTAGAAGTAAAGCTGAGTAAAACGTTGTCTTATGACTTATACTGTGTCAGTGTGACGTATTACCCAACCAAATAAGCAAACAAACATTGTGGTTAGTTTCCTTAGCTACAGAATCTATCCAAGCTACCAGTGCAGACCAAGATCAGCCTAAATTCCCATGCTATCTGATCATGGTTTGGACTATTTCACTATTTAGTTTGTACAAATTTTTGAACTTTTTCCTAAAAAATGACTAAAAATTGAAAGATGGAAAAGTCCATTTAAGATATTTAGGGGGGTAAGAGTTAAAAGGCTTCCCATGAAAAGAAAGCAAACAAAGCATTAAAGATAGTTAGAACAAAAGTAAACGTAAAAATCCTAAATCAGATATACGCTTTAAAACCTTTGTTAAATAGTCATGTTTTTTTTTTTTTAGAATTAGAAATAACTTACCCTGCCTAGAACTGCAGACAGCAATGAAGATTTTCCACATCCCACACTACCACATATACCAATAAGTTTACCCTGTAATAGATCACATCAAACTTATACACATGGCGCTTTTGTTTCAATGTTTAACAATAAGCCTTATAAATTTTTGTATTAAACATGTCCTATTTTTAATTAGAAACTAACACATGTTTTCATGATCAGTGATTTCATGTATCAAATTCATAAAACAAGAGCGGGTCTGTCAGACAGCATACTCAACTATTATAAATACTTACCTGCAAGTGGGGATTATGTCACAAACAAGTAGTTATGGTTTCAAAGCAATATTAATACATCAAAGAGTAGGAAATTAGTGGGGTGGTATTTAAAACTTAACCAAAAGTTTGATGCAGATGCCAATGCCCGGATAAGTAGGACAGCTCTCCCTATGACATAAGTACAATAGTCGGGGCAAAAAATTGAGAAACCAAAGATAAAACATCTTGCCCATATATGTAGATGTTTAATTTTCTTGATAATTACCAAGACAAAGTCTACATTTTACCATTAAACAGCCGGCAGTGATTTACCTATGCAACCAGATCAGACAAATATCAGCAGGCACACCCTTGCCATATAATCATGGTCTACACATTTCGCTTTTCAGTCAGTTAATATTTTGAAATTGTTCCTAAAAATGATGAATGGTTATGTCCAGACTGAAAGATGGACAAGTCCATTTAAAACATTTAGCAGGCTTAGGGTTAAATAACGCCTTGATGATTGCATGAAGTTCCAAAACTTTTCTCAATAAATTTTTAAAACATGCTTTATCTATGGCATGAATAGAGAGAGATTCAATCTTTAACTGGTTTTAAGAATTAATTATGATAAACTTTGTAAAATTATAATTTTCAACTATTCGACCATGGTTTTCCTGAAGCAGTACACATGTCAATGAATGGGTGAACCTGAAACTGTGTTTACCTTTTCAGCAACAAAGGTAAGGTCCTGTAGGGTTGGTGTATCAACAAAGGGTACATCACCATTAACATGCTCTGAGTCCTTCAATTTCTGCAGTTCATCATGACCTTTACCTTGAATACCATTTTTTGTCTTCACCTTTGAGACTTTTGGTAAAAAATATAAAAACAAGGGTCAATTTAAACAAGCTTATCATCATGTATACAAAGCAAAATTTGTTTGTTTTTCTGTTGTTGCTGTTTTTTTTTTAGTTCATGTACACTGATTTTAACACGCTTAGTTGTTATCTCTGTGATTGATCTACCTAACTGGCTTTCCTGGATATTTGTCCAATAATTGCCAATTTCTTCGCAAGTAGCTTACTACTAATCCAATATTTCTGAATCAACATCCAAGATCAATTGTCAAAAAGAAAGTTTGCCTCGCCCTTTGATCGAACAAGATGATAAAAATAGTAGCCTGCCATATTTTCTTGTTTCATCTGTAAGGTAGAGCTGTCATTGATTCATTGCAAAGCATACTGACCATACATCAATATTGGATGACAAATATGGGCGACACACCAATATATCAATATATACTCCTTATTTCTTGTATATAATTCACTTTCATACCTGTTTAAATGATTTTAGTAAAATATATATTCTGTTCTTACAAAAATGTTGTGTCCTGTTTATGTGTCCTTTGCATGAATTTTTCCTAACCATTTTTTGTCACCACTGCTATGAAATGTGTTCATTATGTAACAACAGCTTAGTGTAAGACATGGCCACCTGCTTTTGAATATGTTTTGTTTAATTCATAGAAATTAAAACAATTAATCAAAATTATCGATTTTTTTCAAATGTTTATCAAATATTGATCGACAGAAAAATATCAACGATACATCAATATCGTCTCTATCAATGACAGCTCTAATGCATTGTGAACAATTATCCATTTTTTAAGCTAAACATATATATTTTTTTTGAAGATTTATTTCAGTTAACTCATTTGGAAGCGTGCAAAAATATGCTCACAACAGAGCAGGTACCTTTATCTTTGCTCTTTCCATTCATGCCCTCCGTTAATTGTTTCTCCCATCTAAAAGTAGAACGGTTGAGTACAACAGCATATTTGTCGTTGAACACTTGCCATGGGTGTGGTACCATCTCATCCATTAGTAAAATACTCTGACAAGAAAAAAAATCACATAATCTAATTTGAAACAAATGTATCATATAATTTCTTTATATATGCATATGTACATTGTATTCTAAATAGCATTTCATGAAAATATAGATTAAGTTTACATATCCAGGATTGTTAATTGTTGGTTGTTCATTATTCGTATTTTTACGACATGTAGATATTTTTATCTTTGAACCCAATTGCTGAAGCATAGGAATTAGAAATAAATTCTCAAGAGTACCTTTTTGTTATGTAATTATAAATTTCATTGTATCATTTTTGTTTTATGATAAATCAACCAACCAGGAACATTATAAAGAAAACTGAATTGTATTGAATTATTAAGAACAACTTAGCCTGGTTTTAAAATCAAAATCACTTAGCACTATGATCAAATTTTCAATTCAATATAAAACTTTTAGTAAAAACAAACCTTGTATCTCTTAAAAGAAACTTTTGCGTCTGCCAAAGCTTTCACTGCAAATGGTAGAACACCCAGGGAAAATCTCATGGAGTTCAATACAGCTATCACTGTAAAGGCCTGCAAATGTAAAATATCAAATGTTTCTGTAGGCCTGTCTATATTTTATCCAAAAATAAAACTAAGTCTTGGCTCCCTCTGTCGATACAGACTTATCTGTTACCTGTTGGAGCTAAAGTGATTAGCCTTAGCAACCAATATAGAGCCAGGCCAGCCTGAAACGTATCCTGTATCTTGCTCAGGCACCAAAAACATTAGGCTTTACCACCAATATAGAGCCAGGCCACCCTGTACACCATTGCCGTTTGATCAGGCTCAATTCTTGTATTTTGATATTAACATCCCTAAATCTTCAAATGGACTGCTCCAAAATCAAAGCATTATAAACATTCAGCAGGTTAAGGGGTTTGAAAAAAAAATAAAATAAAAATAAACAGAATTGAAACTAACAAACTGAAGTATCTTACCTTGACAGCTGTGAGTTCATTTCCAGTGAGGACATAAGCTAGGAAGGTGAACACTGATCCAATTACAGGTACAATAGGTGCTGTAGCAGTACTGATACTTTGTACATAAGCTCCTTTCTCTAGAACAGCCCTCTCCTCTCCACGTATCACTGTAAATATAATGATAAAAGCTGTCTAAAAAAAATACTATAGCACTGGCTTGATTTATTTTGAAATTAAGATTTATAAACTTGAATTTTTTTGGGTTTTTTTTTGCAATTTTCACTAAAAATGATGAATGTTTTTTCCAAAATCAAAAGATGGACAAGTCAATTTCAGATATGAGGCACGGAAAGGGATAAAAATTCATTATTTATATCACAAGCTAAACCAAGAACAAGTGGAATACCTGCAATAGCTTTGGCGAATGATTTTTCCCAGGCATACATTTTGATCAACTTTATACATGTCAGTAGCTCGTTCATCATCCGTACCTGTAAAAAGAAATAATTAGCACATGATCATGTCACTTCATATGGCTGCAACATTTTCAATTTTGTCATTTTGTCCGTTCTTCAGAAATTCTGTTTTCCTCTATTTCAATAGAAGAAGAAAGAACTTCCTATTTCTGAATTTGGATGAAGTAGGATTGCAGAAAAACAAATTGTTCTACGTTTATTTTACTTATACAAGAAGATCACAGGTATCTTTGATTTGATATACACAGTAAACATGTATAAACAAGTCTACTTCCGGTTATCCCAAGAAAGGTACATGTTAAAATATATAGGCTTCCAAAAAAGACACAGTGATCGTACGTAACCTTTCATGTAATTTTAATGATTAAACTAAAATATTTTCTTCACTAAAACTACAACTCACAGACAGTTAAACTTAAAGCATTTTATTAAAGGGTGAGACAAGAAAAAAACAAAGTTACTCCAGTTATCGGATGAAAAAACATCATCATTTGTTTACAGCCTTACACAGCTGTTCAATTAACTTATGAGATAAAAATCAGATCAAATACCTCTGATAATAAGTTTTAATAACATATTGTATAAATAAAAAAATTAAGAAAAAAACAAACAAAAAAACCACTGTAAAACTTTAGGTAAAAATGTCAACATAATTATGTGTTCTAATTATTCTATACAACTCTGTATTTACTAAGCCCTCACTCAATATTCTCTATATCTGAAATAAAGATTGCAACAATGCAAAATTTGTTAACCCTTTTATGTTTAATATACAGACTAGAAAATTGATGTAACTGATTTAACTGTTACAAACATTGTACAAACATGAAATTCTTTACCCCTTTCATCTTTTATAAACATTAGCAGATGACAGCAACTTATTTACTTGTTTATCTATGATAAACATAAAGCAATTTATTATCTATGATAAACATAAGCAAATTAAGAAAGTTGTATACCCGTTTATCAGTAATAACGATGCACTTTCTTCTATAGTAGGTGGTCAGGAATGATATCAAATACTGTAAAGAAAACAAACACTCGGGAATAAATAACGTCTATAAAACAGACAAACCATTCTTTTCAAGTTATTACAATTATTTACAACACTCGGTATAAACAGCTTGCATTAAAGAAGATCAAAAGAATTATCTCTGAGAGATCACCAATATAATCTGTCTGATTACTGGTGGTCAGTGATATCAAACGGTTTAATTAAAATAGTCTGGACATAACCATTTATTAGTGTATATATGGTACCGATTATAAACAATGATCATTAAAGTAAACCAATGGAACTTATTCTATTCAAATAAAACCCATAATTTGTATTGAAACAGAAATAATGATAAATAATGGCATAGACAAACATAAAACATAATGACCACTCATTTTTTTGCCTATAGGATTTTATCAGAAGTTAATTCCATACATAAAATTGGAATCCTCTGGCATGTGTACGATCTGTTCACATTGATTTTCTGCAATAAATTCTCTCTACTCATAAAAAGAAATTATTGCATTGGGTACTGAATAAATGTACAAATGTGTATCGAAAGTGCTAAAGAAAATAACAAATATTTAACCATTTTGAATATACATGTAAATGGAGAAACTATTCTTTTTATTTTCTTTATAATGTAATCCGTCACATAATATTTAAAAAATTATTTGTAACCTATCTATTTTAATTTCAATTAATACTTTTAACTTATTTGAACAACTCTACAAATTTCATCCTGCCCAAACCAGTACTGGCATGTCACATGACAAATAAATGTGTCTATAAGACACCGGTGTTCCCACATTCCACTTTTTAGTCAGTCTTAGTAGGAATGGAGAGCTTGAAAGCAAGACAATTTGACAGCAGGATGAACCAACACGGACAAAATCTATATTCCCTCCTTATATAGGGGCATAAAACTGTGCAAGTTCGAGCCCTACTGAAGAGAAAATAAATCCTCGGTCAGATTTGAACCAATCATCGTTGAGTTGACAGGCACAGCACCTTCATCCCTATTCCTCAGTGTCCATAAAATTCATGGTTTTTCACTGACAAAGATATACATATATAGTTATGTATATTCTATGACAAATATGGTAAAATGTTGACCGACAAAAAAAATTCACCCTGAATGCCATCATTTGAAAATGTGATCGATCTACTTTTAAAAAAAATCGCAAACTATTGTGAGTAGGTAGCAAACTTTTCAAAGTATGACCAGCATTTTACTATTACCAAAAATGTGAATGTTTCACATACCATTAAAGGATAGAACGCTCCAAACACTCCCATGGCAATAAGTGACCATGGTCCAATAAGAATCAACATATAAATAAGGCCCATCAATAGAACCACAGGGCCTGGTACCATCAGAGGACCGATTACTACAGCTTCAAATATTCTCTGACTGTCATTGCCTAGTAGATTTACAATCTGAAAAAGAGAGACCCAACAAAAATATTAACAAAGTATATAACACACCTGAAATAAAATGATTACTTAACATTTTCTGTAGCATTTTTATTAGAAAAACAGATAACCACTGCCATATTGATATGAGACTTTGATCTGAGTACACTTTTTGGTGCATATTTCTGATTTTATTCCCCTACATTATTTTCCAGATAGACACTGTTACAGTAATAAGGCTTTCATTAAAGTAATCATATAGCTTATAACTTTTTTTTTTTACATGTTAAGCAGGATAAACAACACACACGCAAGCAAGGGACCAGTGATTCGAAGAGTGCAAACCTTATCCTTTGTAACGAAGTGTCTCCAATCCACAATTTAGGAGACACATATCAACATATAATTGAGCCGCACCATGACAAAACCAACATAGAGGGTTTTCGACCAGCATGGATCCAGACCACCATGTGCATGCTGTTCGCTATCAGTTTCTCTACTTGTTATACGGTTTGTAGGTGATCAGCATGGATCCTGATCAGACTGTGCGGATGCGCAGGCTGGTCTGGATCCATGCTGGTCGCAAACTCACTATGTTGGTTTTGCCATGGCACGCCTCAATTATCTTAACTGTAAATGTATTGCACTACACAGATGACTACAGGTTTCCCATTAAATAAGCATGTGAGTCCACATTTGACATCACTGTGCAATGAAATCAGGTCAATAATTGTAGTCGACAGACAATAAAATAACTATTTGGGTTTTTCCCTGATAATCTGTAAGTACAAACAAACTTTTACAGTTACAGCAAAAGGTTGACAAATCTATTGTGACAGGTGTCGCATCATGAAGCTTAAACGGTGAAAGTTTGTTTGTACCTAAGAATTTGCTGGTAAAAACCCATATTTGCCAATTTTTAGTTCAAAATAACATTTATTATAATGTCTATAAATACACTTAGAACCCCCTACTGTATCAAATATATATAAATTATAATTTTATATTATTTAATCGAATAGTCCAGCTAACAAGAGCTGTCCGTAAGACAGCGCGCTCGACTTTTTTATTGCTTGCCAATAAAAAAAGTTTTTGCAGTAAAAGGCAATACAAGAATCTCTGTATTTTTAAAGTGAACTAGTTGTTTGATACCCTTGAATATTACAGCAATGTTTATATGACATAATTTATGGTAAAGTGAAAAAGTGGATAGGAATGAATTTTTTTAGATTTTTTAAGTTTTTTAGTGCTTGCCTATAATACAAAACATTGACAGTTAAGGGCCATAATTCAAATAAAATCTTTGACAGAATTACCTTCTCCTGGACATGTTTGGGAATCATGATTGTAAACAAGTATTCCAACTTTCAAATTAATATCTCAAACAGTTCAGTCAAAAAGTGGACTGGTACTAAAAAACTTAACCAAGATTCTAAGTCGATAAAAAGGCCTTAATTTTTAAAACAAATCCTTGACAGAGTTACCTTCTCTTGCGTACAGATGGGGGTAATGATGTGAAATAGCATTAAAAGTTTCAAAGCAATATCTCAAAGGGTTAAGGCAATAAGTGGATTTTACCCATATTCAATGTATTTTCTAAGTCAAAAAGGGCATAATTCTGTCAAAAACCTTGACAGAGTTATGTCCTCTTGTCTGTTGATGAAGGTCGTGATGGTAAACAAGTATGGTCAGTTTCAAAGCAATACCTCCAATGGTTTTGAAATAAAGTGAGGTGGTACAAAAAACTTAACCAAGCTCAATACACTTTCTAAGTCAAAAAAGGGCCATAATTCTGTCAAAAACCTTGACAGAGTTATGTACTCTTGTCTGTAGATGGAGGTTATGATGGTGAACAAGTATGGTAAGTTTCAAAGCCATACTTGTAATACTTCTGAAATAAAGTGGGGTGGTACGAAAAACTTAACCAAGGTGTGACGCCAACGCCGACGCTAACGCCGACGCCGACGCCGGGGCGAGTAGGATAGCTCCCCTTTTCATAGAAAAGTCGAGCTAAAAATAAAAACATACCTCTCCTACAGTTTTGTCCTGAAGACTTCGCAACTTTAGGATCTTTCTAAATAAAATAGCTTGAGTTGCAGCACGTACACGAACTCCTGAAACAAACATGACATACATACATTCTTCATTCTTAAAAAGACAACATATCAACAAGACACTGCTAGACTCAAACATTTATTTAGTTTGATACCTTCAATTATCATATATGAGCCATGTCACAACAAAACCAACATAGTCTGATCAGGATCCATGCTCTTCGCTACTTGTAATAGGGGCTGGTCTGGATTCATGCTGGTCGCAAACGCACTATGTTGGTTTTGTTGGGAGGCGGGTCATATAATTTAACGTTGATGATGGAATGTATTTCTGATGTTTAAATTTTCACTCAAAGTCAGGGCGCAGAGTACTATGCTAATTTCTTTTATCTTCATATTTAGTTCGGCTACAACTGAATTACTCCTGTATTTTCATAATTTCACTGTTGAGCAACCAATCCTTGTCCATATCATTTCAATAGTATTTAGAAAACGTTGTAAAAAATAAATGATAACTCTTATAAAAATATATACCTGTGGCATAATTTAAATGCCAGGCCAATGCAAAGAACAATGACCTGCCCAACTCGCACAATACGATACCAGCCACCAGGCTTAATCCTATGCCTAAATCTACATCACCGGAATTCAGGTACGACAATAATTGGAGCAGCACAAATGCCTAAAATGTAAATAAACCATGCCATGACAAAACAAACAGAGTGCGTTTGGGACCAGCACGAATCCAGACCAGCCTGCACATCCGTGCAGTCTGATCAGGATCCATGCTGTTCACTATCAGTTTCTCTACTTGAAATAGAGTTGGTAAGCCAACAGCATGGATCCTGATCTGACTGCATGGATGCGCAGGCTGTTTTGGATCCATGCTGGTTGCAAACGCACTATGTTGGTTTTGTCATGGCTCAGCTCAAATAATATTGTTAACGCTTTTGTAACAAAATATGAAAAGAGAACTCTTTTGTAATGTAATATATCAAGTAATATTTCAAGTTAATTTCAAAACAGAACTGAAGGACGTGCCAGAAAATAATACTAAATAAGATTTTAACAATGTTATGATTTTTAATGATCATATAACAGGTAAGATTATCAAATAAATGTCTTTATCACATAAACCACAGCACAGGAGTGTAATAAATCCATTTAATAAAAACAAATACACTTTGCTGTGATGTCATTTGTGTTATTATATAAACATAGTGCTAAAACGAGCTAATGTTAGGGTTACACTATTATCGTATCAATGAAAAATGACATTTTTTACCTGTTAACTGTTCTTATTTGATATGTGATAAATAAAATATTATATATGTGTAGATTCAATACTAAATTTAATGAACTGGTACAACAATACAGTATTATGCTTGCCAGAGGCTCACATATGTTTAATTCAATTCCTTCACTAAATTTAGTATTACATCTACACTCATTCAATATCCTCTATATCTAAAATATCTGTACATTCTATAAAAAATATAACATTATATCAATTTGCAGCAATTAATTATGTATACCAAATATACTTATGGACATGCATGTAATACATGTGTAATTAAAACAATTTAAAAATTTAAACATACAAAATGAAAAATAAAATAATTAACACCTTTGTATATTTTTTCTGTATCTGTTTAACTATAAGATAGGTACAGAGAAGTTCTAGCAAAGGTAATATGATATACAAAAGGAGAAGGATTAGAGAAAACATAAGTTGCTAATTTAAACATAAAACCAAAATTTAATATGAAAGCTCAAAAAAAAAAGTTTTCCATTGACTGTCACTAATAATTTGTATCATTGTAGCATCACAGAAACAAATTTAATTTGGCATTTAACTTTGGAATGTTGAAAAATGCACCTGAGTAGAACCACAAACCTTCGGTAGACTGACTTGTTGGGTTCCTCACATGAAAGAATCCAAAGTCCCTCACAGGATTCAAACCCATGGCAGTGAGGGGTAAGTGATTTGTAGTCATCAACCTAAACCACTCATCCACAACCATGCCAACTATTTTTTTATGAAATTGGTGTAAAGCCGAGCCAAGCTCTGAACTTCTTGTTCAGTTTGACAAGGTTTCTTTTACTGGGTTATACTGAATGGAGCCAAACTTTTACAATAGTGAATAATTTTGTCATTACACAAAACTGAAAGTTAAAAATTCAAAGTAAAGTGGCAATTTTCAAAAACAAATTTAGCAGACGTCAATGTAAAACTAAAACCAAATATATAGGGTATTTAATAAATTTCTAGCAATTTTTTTTATTACATATAGAAATTACACAGAAGAAGCTGTGGCAGTATGACAAAACATAGAAAAATTGGCTGTTTGGGAAGGGTTGAGGAAAAGCGGAGAAGACGCACCTTCTGTAGGGTAACAAAATATATAATACTATACTTTGCTACTATTCTAGCTAGCTGGCATACAAATATTCTAAAATCTAGCTATATTAGTTTTGCTGGGACCATTAACAATTACAAACCCTAATGAAAGTATATAAAATAATTCATTACAGATTACAGTCAAACATGTGCAAAAGATAACCTGTAATTAAAGACCACCATGTAAAGAAAGGCCACTATTCAGCAACATTTCATGGATTAAATCGAACATTATAACCTCCAAATAAAGACAACTTGTCTAAACAGACCATGTTTGGTCTCTCCTTTGGATGGCTTTGTTCACAAGGTTGACTGTATATCATAATAAACCTAAAGCCACTCTCGCCTTATTCTGCCTGTTTTCTAAATACCTATTTTTTTAGTACCCTTTTAAAAAACAAGAGTGTGTTTTCCACTGTCATGTCATAATTTGAGAAATTATGAATAAAGCTGCTATTTAAAATACAAGTTCATTAAGGTCTGTAATCTTTAAAAACGAAACAAAAGCTCAAAGCATTAAAATAGCATCAAGAATAATTATTTTGAAAGTTAAAAAGAACACTATTGCAATTCAATCATATTAAAAATCCAGTAACAACTGGATTTTTTACGATCCCTTATTAAGCTCAATTGCACTCTGGTTATAAGGGGAGAAAAAAACAATGACTTAGCAGTCTAACTCACTGGGGTGGAGAAAGACACAATAGATGCAAATGTTAAGATCACCACCGCCAAGAAAACTCGTGTACGGACAAAACGTAAAACGGTCATAACAAACGACGCCTTTTGTGGCCCTTTTCTCTCAAGTTCATCTTTCCACAGTCTATCTAGTCTACAAAACATACATAAAGTGAAACATATGAATAAAAGATGAGAAATATTTGTTTGCTCCGGTCAAGTACGAAGCAAAACTTAAAGAGATTTAAAAAGGAAACACCAACATTCTCAGAGCTAACTGGACAGTGTCATTAAAACATAAACCCTTAACCCACTAAATAACTGAAATGGACATGTCAATCTTTTAGTACGGACTTAACAGTTCATCATTTTCAGAGAAAATTTCCAAATATGTACCGACAGAAAAGCAAACAGTGCAGACCACAACCTGACTACAGGGATACCGATGCAGACTGATTTTGGTCTGCACTGGTCACAATGTAGAATCTGTTGCCAACAGCAGGATAAAGGTAATAAAGCAATTATAAGTAGTGTCATAAAAAAGGTTATATACAACTAAAGTTAACAATAACACTGTAAAGATATCTAATAAGAGCAGTGTATGCAGGTTTATGGTCTTCTGTTAAACATTCCAAATTTAAATGAGGCATAAGTAAAAAAATATTGCTTTCATAATTGTCTCACAACTGCACTTTGTCAAGATAAGCCAGTAGCCAAAGTTTAATCAATAAAAGATAAGAAATATTTGTTTGTTGTGGTTGAGTATAGACCAAAACTTCAAAATTTGCTGGATGTCAAAAACTGGTCCTATGATACAACTGTCTTTTGCTACAAAATTGGCCAGATGCCAGAGTTTTAAAACTGGTCCTATGATACAACTGTCTTTTGCTACAAAATTGGCCAGATGCCAGTGTTTTAAAACTGGTCCTATGATACAACTGTCTTTGGCTACAAAATTGGCCAGATGCAAGAGTTTTAGAAGTGGTCCTATGATTATGATACAACTGTCTTTGGCTACAAAATTGGCCAGATGCCAGAGTTTTAAAACTGGTCCTATGATACAACTGTCTTTGGCTACAAAATTGGCCAGATGCCAGAGTTTTAAAACTGGTCCTATGATACAACTGTCTTTGGCTACAAAATTGGCCAGATACCAGAGTTTTAAAACTGGTCCTATGATACAACTGCCTTTGGCTACAGTTTTATTTGAGTATAAAGCAATTAATGTATTTATTAGAGGGTATGTTAAAAAGCATGCCTTACATTTATCTTACATCAAAAGTTAGTACACTAAATGCACAAATACACAATCAATCACTAAAAGTTGGGAAACTGATAATATATAAAAATGTTACACTAAAAGACAGAGGCTGTACACTTAAAGCATAAACAAGAGGATGGTAGTAAAGCACCAACAATTCTAAAATTAGGTTATGTTAGACACATCAAGTGAGTACACTCTAAATACCAAAATCCACAATCAAACACCAGAAGTCAGTAATCTAAAGGCTACAAGTTAGTACACAAACACCACAAGTCAGCATGCTAAAATATCACGTGCATTGTAATCACTTACTGGCACGGAGAACTGTAAAGCTACTGTGACAAATAGAGACAGGAAGGCAAATATCATTCTTGTCTTAACAAACACCATTACTGCACGTGAAAATGATGATTTTTCTGGACCTCGTTTTTTCAGTTCCTCTGACCAAATGCGTTCAAGTCTGTAAAAAAAGCTCAGTAAATTGCTAGATCTGATTAGCTTTAATTTTTAGTTATCCGTTACTAAAGAGGTTGGTTATCTTTTGTACTTTTTGCAAAGACCTATTTGCAGACGTTACGCTCCACTTTTTCTCAGTGCTGAACAGTATGATAAAACAAAGCAGAACAGGTGAAATATTCTTGCAAACATCCTTACCATTTCATACCAAGTTTGAAGTGAATAGCATTGATAGTTTAATCTAAACAAACAGGTTAACCAATGCCAACATCAATACCTATCATTGAGACAGTCATGACAATAGCTCCATTTCTTTTCTTAGATAGCTCCATTTCTTTTCTTAGAAAAGTGGAATTTAAAAAAGAAAAATTATCTTAGTCACATTTTATTATTAAAAAAGAAATATTCATATTTTTTTAACTGAAGGCAAAGTTTAAGTATAACCAAATTTTGTTAAGTTTATTTGTTTTTTGGGGTTAGTTTGAAGGTGTCTTAATGATAAAGAACATTTAATCATTAAACTACAATGTATATTGGTTTCCTAGCAGTTTCAGGCCACAGTTTTTAAATGTCAATATACGAGTACAAAACTTTTAAAGAATACAGTTACATGTAGGTACCTGTCAAGCATTACAAATGTACCATATATTTAATGTTGCTCTGTTACTTAACTTCTCAATTGGAATTACAGGCCTGAAATGTAACATCTTCTCTCCCTTTTATTCCAAATTTCGTAGCAGTTTATCAGATCTTCTTTCATTTCAAATATAATTCACTATCAGAAAGTAATGTTAAAATGACCTTATCAAAGAAACAGAATTTTCCAACCTTTTCCGTGTTGTCTGCAACAGTATTGATTTACCTGGAATGGGGCCTCAATAATTGTGCACGAGCATTTGGAAGATCCCTGAGGTGTTGCTTATTTTTAAATAATCCAAGTTCTCTAAGGTAACTTAAAACAACAGACAAAACTTCACAACATTATTATTAATCACTATGTACTATTTTAACTGCCTATAAAACAAACGACTCTCTGGTTTGATGAAGTAATACACACGCTTTATCGATAAAATATACTGCACTGGACAAAAATTATAAAAGGCAGCAAAACTGCTAAGAAACCAGTACATGTATATGTAAATGTACACATGTATATAGTTAGCCTATTTTTTGGCTCTTATCTTTATTGTGCACCAGGCTACTGTGAGAAGCAACTTTTGACAGGCTGACTTTATCTCAAAATATCTCAACCAATTTAAAACACTCAAACATTGATGTGACAAAACTAATTTAATTTACAAGTCTCGAAATACCTCACCTGTCAGCATTTGGTTTCGCCTTTTCATTTTCTCCAATCGTCATATCTTTAATCGTGTCAATTCCTTTACGATATATGTTCCACATCATTGACGTCTGCCAACTGAAGGTCATCGAAGAGAAACATCCCGCCTTTTCCAACGGGAACTCATTTTTCTTCCTAAAATGGTAAAGACAATCTCAGTGTTCAATTAAACAAGAATGAATTTCTCATAAAGTTTGATGAAATCTTATTTATCAAGAACAGCTATTATTTTTTTGAGAACTTCTTACCATGAGGCATTGACTTTCAATGATTCTTTATGTTTAAGGTGTAACTAAAGTCTAGATAATGTAGCATTTTCACAAAGGGGAACAATTCATTATAAATCCATACTAGAGTTAGGGGTCTTGGATAGTGACCAACAATTATAATCTCAAAGACATGAGGTAACAAGAGGATAATTCCCCACCTTAGTGCAGTAACAGGTTAACTTCTATTCAATTATATAAGGAGTTAACCTGTTACTGCACTAAGGTGACAAATGTCGTCTGCTGTGGTATAAAAGATAATGCAGTTTCAATGCCAAGCAAAAGTTTGAGTAAATATTTCCCACAACCAGTACCAATGGCTATTAACAAATGAGTATAGCATCTCCACTATTCATGAAAGTCAAACTAGAAATTGCCTCAACTGTACAATACAACACAATAATAGGACTGAATGTTTTCAAAATATGAAATAGACCTTGAACCTGCTAGTGTCAACTGATTCTGCCCATGCAGCCAGCACAAACCAAGATCAGTCAGTGCATCTGCACTGTTCTCTATTCAGTCAGAACTTTTTTAATTATCCCTAAAAACATACATGTGATCAAGTGGGAGCTTTTTCTTCAAAAAGAGGGAGATTTTAGACTTTGCAATAAACAAAGAAGGAAGTTCTGTCATCGAAAATTGGGAGATTTCTTTAATTTGTGAAAATACCCCTTATTTTACAAAAAATCTGTGTAAATATGACTGCAGAAAGACGGAGTCTCCCGCTAAAAGTGGGAGAGTTCACATGTATGCTAAAAATGACCAATGGTTTTGCCCATTTTGAAAGATGGATGAGTCCATTAAAGATATTTAGTGTGGTAAGTGTTAAATCAATCAAAAATTCTAAAACAGATAGTATTGTTGTTATTATTCTTACGTTTTCTCAAATCTGAGTGGAAGTGCATTTTTCATAGCCTTTTTATAACGTTTGAATTTCTTCTGATAGATTGAGCGTTCTGGCGACATTTCTCCACACTCATCTAGTCCCAATAAACTGAAATATAGAGGGGAACAAAAATTAAAACTAGTAAATTAAGAATTTCCAAATGTGCCAAAGTCAGGAATGTGTAAAGTCAGGAAGGTGTAAAGTAAGGAATATGTAAAGTCGGGATTTTGTAAAGTCAGGAATGTGTAAAGTTAGGAATGTGTAAAGTCAGGAATGTGTAAAGTCAGGAATGTTTAAAGTGAATGTGTAAAATCAGTAATGTGTCCAAGTCAGGAATGTGTAAAGTCAGAAATGTGTCAAGTCAGGAATGTGTAAAGTCAGTAATGTGTAATGTCAGGAATGTGTAGTCAGGAATGTGTTGTCAGGCATGTGTAAAGTCAGGAATGTGTAAAGTCGGAATGTGCATTGTCACTGCTAGTCATAATCAGAATTTATAGCTAAGCAGTATCATGAAGATGTCAGAAATGTGTAGAGGGATGGAACAGAATGATTAGAGAATAAATATGTTTGTTTGGTACAATAAAAATTTAAGTTAATGCATTTTTGATATTTATAATTTTGTAAAAAAAAAAAAAGAAAAATAATAATAGATATAAATGCTTAATGAAACTTTGTGAGGTTTTTTTTGCAAAATCTAAATTGCTGTCAATAATTATACATGTTATAATACAATAGCATCAATACTGTAAAACTTTGTAAAAAAAAATCACTAAACCGAAACATGGTCGCTAAAATCTATTTGGTTGTGTACCTTTAATTTTCTGATTCATATAGTTACTGAAATAAGTCGAAAAGGACTACTCCCAATTCATAGCAAGGCATTTTTTGTTGCAAAAATTCAGCAGCTGAAGAGTAAAAAAAAAATGAATTTTGAGAAAACGTACCTCCTTGTCATATCTTCAATTCTGTCATCCATGTTGTCTTCCGTGTTCCCTTTAAAATCAACATCATCCTCCGATTCACTACTGCTGCTACTGGCATCATTACTCATTAATCCCGTTTTTTCATTGGTTTATTTTTCTTTTTGTATCCTAGTAACTCATATTCATTTCAACTTAACTTTAATTTCTACATTTTCTTTGTCGTTTCCTTTAAAACCGTCTCCTTGTTGTCATTTTTTGCCCTGATTCACCCCTTTTCCCGTGTTTTTTAAACCTTTTCTTTGTTTTATTTTGGTTTCATCATTCCTGTCAGATTTTTGAAGCAGATTTTTCTCATCAGACTCCTCCGATGCCATTTTCAGCAAAACTTGCGTCACGTAAAAATTGTTCAATTTAAATTTCAGTTTAATGTCCAATTTTAATTTGTTGTTGTTGTTTTTCAAAAAATTTCAAGAATTAATTAATAACCTAGAACAAATGTAGGATTGTGTCATGAAATGTTGCATTTTAAACACCAGGTCTTTGAACTTATGTTTAGTCAAGATGAATGCTGCTTGTTACGTCTCAATGTCACATTTAGAATCTAGTTGCTACACTTTCGTAAATTCTGTCCATCTGAAAAACATAAAACAAAGCATTAAAACCTAAAACGTTTTTTTTTCCAAAATTTTCCAAAAAATAGAAAACAACAATTTATCAAGAACAAAACATAAACTCCTTTGAAAACACACGAAATCTTTTATATAAACTACCTCTTGCTAACACACAATATCTTCTACATAAACTCCATTGCAAACAGACAATATCTTCCAGGTTTGTCAAAAATTACTTCCAGATAAAATCAGCATGTGCGAAGAATCTGTTTTATGAATTATCTGCTTAGTTAGCAATAGTTCTATTTATGGTCTTGATATTACTATATCCACATGCTGGAGAATATGTCAGGTCATAGTATCATTTTTTACATACAAAAGATAGCCATGCAAACTGAGACATCAATATAATTATCATATCATTTTTCGCTTTTCCCATGCTTTAGTGTCATTCTGTACAAAACACACACAAAAAATGATACTTTCATAGTAATTTGTTACTGTGAAGAGTGATTGCTTTTCACATACACAGAAAAATATTTCCAAGGTTTTTTGACAAGCAGAATACTTTTGGTTGATTTCATAATACATGTATTTTACATTGAACTCCATGAAAATTTGAATAAATAATTGCTTCAATCATCTTTACACAAATCTTGCAGAGGTAAATGATAAGTATGAATGTATACCAAATGAGGAAATATTTCTTACCAATTACACCATTTGAATAGTGTAATCGACAGCCCTAACTGCTTCCAATTTGGAATAGAAGTGCAGTTTTTTTTTACTATCCAAATTTTTTTTTTCCACGGGGGAAAAATTATACGTTTTTTGGGTAATGGCTCAGGAAGGGCCATGTCATTTGCTTTGATAGAGTTATAATTAAGAGATTAGCACTGGCAAACTAAGGCGGACTCAGGTAAGAGTGAGTTTTTGTTTTTCTGATTATATGTAGGTCATATCTAGGTCACCGATCTATTTATCTAATTATCCTGGATAACTAACCAGTTATAAACAATTTCTCTACAAGTGACTGCCTACTAATCCTGCCAAGATTTCTGAATCAGCAGTGAGAGACAAATGATCATATGACTCAATGTCAACGCATTGTTACCCGGAAAATTTTGCTTTGTGACAAGGATCAAAACCAGGGGGGGGTGCCCAAAAAAAACCCTTTTTGGAATTTTTACTTAAATTAAATATTAATTAAAGATCTGAAATTAAGACACAAACACTTACTGTAGTCAGACTCCACGGATGTAAAAACAGGCAATGTCGCTCATAGTCTATGCTGCTGGCAATGACTTGAATAGCTACTTAGATAGAGGAACATACGCAAAAAAAATTTACCTTTTTGATAGATTTTGAAAACGGGAAAAAATCATTTCAAATATTTTAAGGATAAGTTGTTTCTTTCAAACTTAAAATTTGAATTTAGGAAGAAATCTTGAAATTAGGAAAACATCTTGAAATTATGAAGAAATCAACAGTTTTTGTACTCATAATGACAGTTACATTTATAATAATAACATTAATGTTCTACTTCTTTCTGCTCTACTTTCTCATATTTTATATTTATAAATCACACAAATAATGCAATTATTCATTAGTTTTATCTCTTCGCATCAATTGATGAAATGGAGATATGGTGTTTTTATCCTCTCCTATTGTCTGTTTGTCAACATTTGTCTCTCTACAAACACTTTTAACTTTTTAACACACTAAAAATCTTAAATGGACATGTCCATCTTTCAGTCAAGACAAAACCATTCATCATTATAAGGTAAAATTTCAAAATAGGTACTAACTGAATATCAAACTGGCTGAAAAAGTAAGATCTGTTGCTGCCAGCACTGGCTAGGATTTTATTAATACAAAACCTGCTAAAATAAAATATCAAATGAATTTGCCCTGACCATTCGAAGTTTCAAGGGATTTCATTGTCAAATACAAAAATCTTGTTAGCTACTAAAAGTATAGAGCCTGGTTTGGAATTTTGCACCCGAAGTATAGGCTGGCCTGGGTTAAATTAACAAGGCCCCCAAAAAAAGGGGGGAAGTACAGGCTGGGGCCTTGGGTTAGACAGTTACAGAATAAGGTTTGGCTGCGGTAAGACATCATAAAAGGGGAAGTATAAAAAGGCTGGCATGTAAGACCCCAAGTACAGGAAGTTTTAGGAAAAAATTGGGCCTTTTTTTGGTTAAGAAAACCAAAATACCAAGGGAAAAAATACAAAAGGCTGGCAGGTTTTAAGGAACCCCTCATTAGAAAAGTATAAGGGCTTGGATTGGTAAGAACAAGGGGTACAAAAGAAAGGGGAAGGGTTACAAAAGGTTTGGGGCTGGTAAGACCAAAAACACAGAAAAGTTTTAAAGGCCCCCCCTTTGGGGCCTATAAATTTCAGCACAAGAAGTACATGGGACTGGCATGGTAAGACAGCACAGAAGTACAGGCTGGCCTGGTAAGACAGCACAGAAGTACAGGCTGGCATGGTAAGACAGTACAAAAGTACAGTTTGGCCTGGTAAGACATCACAGAAGTATAGGCTGGCATGGTAAGACATCACAGAAGTACAGGCTGGCCTGGTAAGACATCACAGAAGTATAAACTGGCATGGTAAGACAGCACAGAAGTATAAACTTGCATGGTAAGACAGCACAGAAGTATAGGCTGGCCTGGTAAGACAGTACAAAAGTACAGGTTGGCCTGGTAAGACAGCACAGAAGTACAGGCTGGCATGGTAAGACAGCACAGAAGTACAGGATTGGCATGGTAAGACAGCACAGAAGTACAGGCTGGCCTGGTAAGACAGCACAAAAGTACAGGCTGGCCTGGTAAGACAGCACAGAAGTACAGGCTGGCATGGTAAGACAGCACAGAAGTACAGACTGGCCTGGTAAGACAGCACAGAAGTACAGGCTGGCCTGGTAAGACACCGCAGAAGTAGCAGTGTGGTTTGGTAAGACAGCACATAAGTACAGGCTGCCCTCAGGTAAGACAGCGCAGAAGTTACAGGATGCCCTGGTAAGACAGCACAGAAGTACAAGTTTTGGCCTGGTAAGGCCAGCACAGAAAGTACAGGTTGGCCTGGATATGACAGCACAGAAGTACAGATGGCATGGTAAGACAGCACAGAAGTCCAGGATGGCATGGTAAGACAGCCACTGAAGTTACAGGGCTGCCCTCAGGTATGACAGCACAGAAGTACAGGATGGCATGGTAAGACAGCACAGAAGTACAGGCTGGCATGGTAAGACAGCACAGAAGTACAGGCTGGCCTGTTAAGACATCACAGAAGTACAGGATGGCATAGTAAGACAGCACTGAAGTACAGGCTGCCCTCAGGTATGACAGCACAGGGAAGTACAGGGGATGGCATGGTAAGACAGGACAGAAAGTTACAGGATGCATTTGGTTTTAAGACAGCAGTGAAGTACAGGCTGCCCTCAGGGGATACAGCACAGAAGTAAAAGGGGTGGGGATGGTAAGACAGCAAGAAGTACAGGATTTGGCCCTGGTAAGGGCAGCAAATTTAAGTTTCAGCCCCGCCCCCCAAGGAACAACAAAGTACAGGGTGGCATTTGGGAAGACAGCAAAAGAATTTCCCGGGACGGAGATTTAAAAATATCACAGAAGTACAAACTTGGGCCCGGAAAACAAACACAGGGAAATATTGACTTTGGGAAGGGAAAAGCACAGGGAAAATAAGGCTGGCCTAGAAAGAAAACACAGAAGTATAACCCGAATACAGCACAGAAATACAGGCTGGGATTTAAGACAGGCCCCAAAAAAGTTTTTTTGAAATGGCCTGGAAAAACACCCCAGAAGTACGGGGTTTGGGCCCGGGGGAAACAGCACCCAAAAATTTCGGGCTTGCCTGGTAAGACAGCACAGAAATACAGACTGGCCTGGTAAGACAGTACAAAAGTACAGACTGGCCTGGTAAGACAGCACAGAAGTACAGGCTGGCCTGGTAAGACAGCACAGAAGTATAGACTGACCTTGTAATACAGCACAGAAGTACAGGCTGCCCTTAGGGTAAGACAATAACAGAAGTTAAAACCAATGGGGGCGGGGGGGCCTGATTTAAGGGGGGGGGGAACACCGCAGGGGGGCAGGGGAAGTACAGGCTGACCTAGGTTTTGAATAGCACAAAAAAGTTACAGGCTGTCAAAGTAAGACAGCACAGAAGAACAGTCTGGCTTGGTAAGATGACACAGAAGTACAGTCTAGTTTGGTTAGATGGCACAGAAGTACAGACTGGCCTTAGGTAAGACTGCACAGAAATACAGGCTGGCTTGGTAAGACAGCACAGAAGTACAGACTGGCCTGGTTAGACATTACATTAAACTTTTGCCAAAATCTAATCCTTTCTTTTGCAGCCTATTTAGTCTTTAAACCATGGCCATGTGTCAATAAAATATGTGACCTAAATCAATAAAGAAAGATTTGCCCAATTATTCTGATTTATTATAAAATAAAAATACACGAGCTTATGGTCATCATTAGTAAATTCTTCACTATATACAA